ATCTCAGATATTTCATGCAGCAACATTTTTACTGCCATGTCCCCTAGAGCAAGGAACATAAAGGAAAGAATAAGCAAATGGGATCTCATCAAAATAAAAAGCTTCTGCACAGCTAAACAGTATTAAAATAAAAAGAGAACCAACCATATGGGAAACATATTTGCCAATGATACCTCAGACAAGGGTTTAATCTCCAAAATATACAAAGAACTCACAGGACTCCACTCTAAGAAGACAAGCAACCCAATTAAAAAATGGGCAAAGGACTTGAACAGACACTTCTCCAAGGAGGACATGCAGAAGGCCCAGAGCACATGAAAAGATGTTCAATATTGCTAGCTATCAGCGAGATGCAAATTAAAACCACAATGAGATACCACTTCACACCAGTCAGAATGGCCATCATAAACAAAGCAACAAACAACAAGTGTTGGAGAGGTTGTGGAGAAAAGGGGGCCCTAGTGTACTGTTGGTGGGAGTGAGGACTGGTACAATCACTATGGAAAACAGTATGGAATTTCCTCAGAAAACTGAAAATGGATCTTCCTTTTGACCCAGCAATTCCACTGCTGGGACTATATCCTAAGAACCCTGAAACACCAATCCAAAAGAACCTATGCACCCCAATGTTCATAACAGCACAATTCATAATAGCCAAGTGCTGAAAGCAACCTAAGTGCGCATCAGTCAATGAATGGATCAAAAAACTATGGTACATTTACACAATGGAATTCTATGCAGCACAAAGAAAGAAGGAGCTCCTACCCTTTGCAACAGCATGGATCAAGCTGGAAAGCATTATGCTAAGCAAAATAAGCCAGACAATGAAAGACAATTACCATATGATCTCACCTTTAACAGGAACCTGAACAACAAAACAAAGAAACAAGCAAAATATAACCAGAGACACTGAAATAGAGGACAGGCTGACAGTGACCAGAGGGGAGAGAAGAGGGAATTTCAGGGGAGAATGGGAAGGGTTTACAGGAACAAATATAAAGGACACATGGACAAAAGCTTTGCGGGGTGGTGGGGGGTGGAGGTGGAAATGGGAGGGAGGATGGGAGGGATGGGTGGGTGGGCTGGAATGGGAGTAAAGGGCAGAAAACTGTACTTGAACAATGATTAAAAAAAAAAAGAATACAACCTAGTGGGGCACATTTCAAAAACTTAAGATACCCAACACCAAAAAAAGAAAAAAGAAAGGAAGAAAGAAAAGAAGAGGAAAAACAAAGAAAGTATTAATTTATGGAGATTAAATCTAAAAGAATGCAAAAGAAGGTATTTTCTCCCAGGTGTTGAGAGATTCCGCACATTTAGTTCAAGTGTGTTTATTTCTCTCTCTCTCAAACATAAAAAGAAAAGCCAAAGAAACTTTCAATCAACCTTTAGCAGGTGACTTCCCTAGCCCACAGACAGTGCATTGAAATACACTGTTATGTGCCACTAGTGAGCTTACTTTATTTTAGAAATTTACAGATGCAAGCCATCACTTCTTGTTCATGAGTGTCACAAGCATGCTAGAGGGGATGGCATCTGTCAGGATTCACCCTGAAAGCCCTGACTTTGGGAATGGAGCACTCAACCAAGCAATTAAGTGATATGGGGACAGTTACTGATAGCAGATCTTCGTGCAAGTTTGGCTTTTGTAAAAGAGTGGTAGGGAAAAAATATACCAACATACATTTGATACCTAATATTTTACTTTTTGATATCTTGAACTAAAATTCAAATAAAGTAATGTCTTAAATTTTAATTATATAGTTTGAAAATATAAATGCAGGATTTTTTATAAAAACTTTTTGGAGAGAGAGGAAGGGAGAGAGAAAGAGGGGAGAGCAACATCAATGTGTGGTTGCCCCTCATGTGTCCCCTACTGGGGACCTGGCCTGCAATCTAGGCATATGCCCTGACTGGGAATTGAACAGGCGACCCTTTGCTTTGCAGTCCGGCACTCAATCCACTGAGCCACACCAGCCAGGGCTAAATGCAGCATTTTTTGAAACAATAAATACTAATTGTTTTTAGTTGCCAACTTCAGAGTCAAGTTGTTACACAGCAACAGGTAGTAAATAATGAGAAAGAGAGGTTGTAACTGTTATGTTTAATTAGGAGAACAGAGCTAGAATCAAGGATTCCAAGGAGGTAAAGACAGTAATTTTATGCACAGAACACCACTGAATAAAAGGGTGTCTTCTCCCTTTCTGTTATTATCTACTTTGTCTCTTTGTGGTGTCTTTTCATTTCCAAATACTTCTTCCTTCCTTATTGTCCTTATTTGCAATCCTGTTCTTAATATTATGGGAGACTTCCTTTGTTGATGGAAATTATTTACTTTTACTGTATTTAAAAAGTAATTTTGATATTATAAAAAAATATCTTTTCCTGAGAGAAAATGCCCAACTAGTGAAACAACAGCATAAAGGCAAGTTGTAGTTCTTCTGTGACTGTCAGTCTTCTCTATGAGCTCAGAATCAAAGGTTTACCTCAAACAGGAAACTGAAATTTAATGGGCAGTTCAAAAGGCAACAGAAAATTGAAGAGATGGAGGATTTGTTTCTGGTTATCAGAGGGGGCCAATATAATGAGGATAAGGTGCTAAGGAAAGATGACAGAATGATACGATTTTAAGGCCACAGAGATAAAAATCAGTCAAGCCTCTCACTTTTACAGACAGGGAATCAGAAACCCAGAGTTCGATAGCTTGTCTTAGAAAATATCATCTCATCTACTGTCCTCCAAGAGTCAGCCCCAGCAGGAATTCCCTTGTAAAATTCTCCTTCCTCTCACCTCCTCTTCAGACTTCTGGTCTCTTTTCTCCCTAACTGGAAACTAGGCAGAATTTGTGACCTGTGTTTTCTTAGGCCTTAGCATACAAAAAACAATCAGTAAATGTCTGGCCAGTGAAGATAAATGTTCAGGTGCAGCTGGTAAAGCCAGGACTGGAAAAGCCAGGACTGGAACACTTTAACCACAATGGTGTGATCCTTGAGGGAGCTGGGAGTTAGACCATTACAATAATGTGGACTTTAGAAGGGTGGGCTCCTGGCTCTTATTAGCTTTGTATTCTGGGATAAATGACTTATCTACTCTAATCCATAATTATGTTTTCTGCAAGATTATCATCAAGAACTCAGTTACATCCACTATGCAATCCAAAGAGACCAGTGCCCAGCACAAAGTGAGCAATACTTCTCATTCTACCCTTTTTATTCTATAACACAAACTTTCCCACAGTTTAACATTCTGAATTAGGAATGTGTCTTATACAAACAATGTACAATTAAAGGGCATAGCATTTTTTTCTAAGAAAGAGTTATCCAATCCATGAAGTATCTAACAATGGATGCATTTGAATGGATGAAATTCAAGTTTCTTTTATTTTTTTCTTCCATCAGTATCATCAGCCTAGCTCAATATTTTTCAAACTTTTGGTCACGACCCATCAGTAGATTGCAAAATTAGTTTTGGGTCAGGAAGGCCATTTTTAAAATAGCAAAATGAATATGGATTGAACATAATAAAAATATTCTTTAATGAACTATGTGTATGTGCATGTGTATGTATCTATGTGCCTAGTAATATGTGAACATATGCATATATACATATACACATGCAGAAAATGTATTTCTGGTCAAAGGTGTTTGAGAAACACTGGCATGGCTAAAATACATAAATATAGGACAGGTAAGTGTGGCAAATACAGTGATGGCTGCAGAATGATGGGTTTGCCATTTCAGATCAAGAATTTGAACAAGCTTAGTGATTGGGAAAGGAAGAATCAACTCAAAGGGAAGAGGTAAGAGGACTAAGTGGAGAGGAAGAGGAATAGATAGATGAAAGTGGGGACCAGAGAATGTGAGCCTGAGTGTGTTCAGTGCAGCTATGCATGGACACTCACAGGACTGAATGCCGATGTCCTTTTACCACCCAGTTCTTGTTCTTTATAATGACTTATGAAAGGCTAAGAAAGAGAAATTGTATAATTCTTTAAAACATCAAAGAGAAATATTCATCTTATTTTTTTATTCTGACATTATGTTATAAATCAGTCTTTGACTAAAAAATATGAAAAGTAAGTAAATATTATATTAGCTATATTATAGTCAAATCCAGGCAATAAACCTCAACTATGCACCTTAAGATGTACCTGCTCCTCCCTACCGTAGGCCTTAGGACAACAAAAAGAACCAAAACCACAGTACCTGCTCTTGAAAGGCATTCAGTCTTCCAGAACATCAGATAGGCAAACCAACAATTATAAAACAGTGCAGTGTGGTAATTAAGGGAAATGCTGGCGGTTGTGAAGACACTAAGAGAGGTTCCTAACTCAGCCCCAATAAGGTGATTTAAAAGGTTTATAAGGAGCAGAGATGAAAACAGAGTTCCAGACAAAAGGAACTGCATGTCACAGTCCCTAATATCATGTGCCTTCAGGCACAGTTAGTAATTTGACCTGGAAACAACACATGTGGTATAGTTGTAGGGGACTAAACAGGAAATGAGGCTGGACACATAGGCTGGATCAGTAAAGGAACACCTCCCTCAATATATCCCCAAATTCCTCTTGACCTTGGATAAAACCAAACTGTCACCCCTAAATAATGACAGAGTAATGCAGGATTCATACTCTGAAAAATAATTTTACATAGGAAAGCAATATGTTAGTTAATATAAAACTGAAACCAAAAACTATTTCAATATTATAACCATTTTACACTGAATTAAAAGTTAGGTTATGATAATCGGGAGTTTTCTACCCTCCACAACCAGGAATTCTATTTCCTACAGCTCTGTGTGTGTTTATCTTTACAAACATATATGAATACAAATAAAGGATGCAATCTTCGTAAGGGAGCAATGAATACATTTGAAAGGTTGCTTCATGAAATACAGATGACAGGTTTATAATTTAAAGCTCTGTATTTTGTTAAACAATGCAAAGATTAAAATTATCATTAGAAGTTTGTGTTTTGAGAGAACATTCTTTGAATTCTTACCATATGCTAAGATAAAAGGATTCCAGCAAGTTTTTGCCAACAGTTGACCAATTGTGGGCAATCTTTCAATGACTATACTTGAATCCTATAAAAGAAAATTATGTTTTGGTCAGTAAAAGCGCACTATTCTACACAGAAAGACTGAACTGTGCACTATAGGTAAAAGGAGCTTGAATGCTTCTTATTTAGTATGTATTTAAGTAAAGTAGGAAAAACTGGATGAAAAAAGATCTTTAGATAGGTTATTCAAATCAAGTTTAACAAGCAACCACCTTCCTTCATCCTTAAACCAGGTCACGAAAACTAAGATACACAACACATTTTAGGTAAAATCATTTTGTTACAAAATTAACTTCATTTTACTCATACTTAACAGTTAGGAAACACCACTTTATTTAAAAATAACAAAGGTTGCATAATAGTGAAAAACCATTATGGGTGATTAATGTCTCTATAATCTCTTATCTTTATCCTAGAGTTTTATTCTAACATAATAAAAGAAGTTCCTAATTCAGCTTCAGAAAGGCTATTTCAAAGACGGTTTAAGAGGGCAAGAACTCTAGAACTTATAAAAAGAAATAAAAGCAGACAAATAAAGATATATATCTGTGTTCATTACTATTTTGGTTACTATATACTAAAGAGCATCGGAATTAGTCTATAACAATCTAAAACCTGAGACAAAAAAAGACCAACTAAATAGAAAACAGCTTAAGATTTTAAAATATAATGCTATTGTACATTTGGCCCTTTTCCCACTTCTTTACCTTTCAAAGAAAGTTCAAAAATAAGACCAAAAAGATCATGTGCACATAAGCTGAAATGATAAGCATTTCCTACTGCTGCAGCAATAAATTCCTCACACTGTCTCAGCATTGAGGCCAGTCTCAGACTTTCTGGGACCTCTTTAAGGTCAAGTTACAAAAGCCTTATTACAAAAAACAATTTTAAAATTAGCATTGGTTGTTCATAACAACTATTTTTTCATATAGTGTCTAAAGACATATGAACTCCTAACATCAACATGAATTATTCTTCAAATTTCCTACTTGCTTCTTTGACTATGGAAATAAAAGTGTAACACAAAAACACTTATGTTAAATTACAATTTTGCTTTTCATCTTAAAGTTAGACAATAAGGATAAAATATTTTGATAATATCAAAACATGTTAATTCATAAAATTATCTATGCAATAAAAATAAATCTTATGTCAAAAAGAAAATATATTGAATTTTAACATAATAAAGTATATGACTATTTTAAAGACATTTGAAATCTTAATATTCACTAGGAAAGACCACTTAAAATATTTGTAAGAAGAGATTTTCATATTTATCATCTCCTGATAGAGCCCACTTTAAAACAGGGTTGAAGGAAAGGTAAGCATTTCAGCAAATTCTTCAATATTTAACAAATGCAAAGGCCTTTAAAAGAATCCCAGTTATTACCTGACAACAAGTGTCAAAGCCTTGTTTATTTAAAAACAATCTGGATGGTCCAGAAGTCTCATGAGACAATATAACTAATCAAGAAGAAAAGAATGAAGTCATAATGAATCACAGACAAGGAAACTGCTTCCTGTCTGTATTACCTACAGGTAACTCAACTTTCTACCTTCTTCAATACACGAGGTAATACTAAAAATCCCTGGCCCTGAATCAAACTCAGGCTTGGTGAAATCTGGTAAAGAGTCCCAGCTGTCACAAAATAACTTCATTAATTTTGGTCCACTACTTACCATCTCTTTCAAGGCTTCATATATCTGCCTCAGGAACTCCTGGAACTGATGTATGTGGCGGCAGATGTCTTCCTGGGTTTCCAAAGTGAAGGCCTGGCCCCATACAGAAAGCTTCCAAATCCAAAACTGATAATCAGAAGAAAGGCCTGCTGAATCTTGAGCCATCTCAAAAAAAGGGCAAAAGTGACGGACCTTCACAGTGGCATGTCAAGCACTGAAGAAGATAGTGAACACACATCAAATCTGTAAGAAAGGAAAAATTAAACATTTCATAAAGGGTTTTTTATTGGTGTCTTCACAAATCACTGATGAGTAAAAAGGGAACTATCAAGGACTAAAATAGCATGCAATTATTTTAAAATGTGTCACCCAGCTGTAGCTCCAATCATTACCATCTGAACTTTTTATCATGAGTAATATAATTACACTAAAAGTCATTATACCTCCACAGCACATGCTAATTATGTACAAAAAGCACAGCCGATAATACTTTATATGTTTTTTAAAAGATTGAGCTATTTTTAAATGTTCGGACTATGAAGTTCCTTTGAGTATTTTAATGTAATGGGAAATCAAAAACATCCACGGGTATTTAATAACAGACTGTGTCTAAGAAATGGTTTTTGAAGTTCTAAGTTTTATATGCATTTCTGGCTTCTCATTCAGGTATAAAAAAATATCTGCATTACTGTCTAATGAATTTTCTTCCCAGTTTATCTTAGTTTCTTACAAAAAAAGGAAATAATTTCACAAGCATCAATTTGAACAAGCTGCTTAAAGACTGCTATATATGCTTGATCTCAATTCATTCACAAGAAGAAATCATATTTTAGTAAAATATGATAAACTCCAATTACTGAGAAGGTATACTAGTCCTAAGTGATAGAAAAAACGTCATAAACTTGACTTACCACACCTGAGTACATGTTAAACAGGAGAGTGGAGTTACTCATTGGGCATGTGCCTCAGGCAGAGCCAAGGGAATAGACTCCAAGAGCTCCACTACCATCCCAGTCTCCTTTGGACAAACTCACCATGGGAAGCACACCAGGCTGAGAAGGAAGGGCTGCTTCAACAGGGGGAGGCCTTTAAAGACTCATACTTTCCTGGGACAGGGATGACACTCTGCTATCTAATTTCAAAAGAATACTCTGCGAAATGGTAAATTTAAATCCTCATCAGCAATAAGCAACAGATAAAATGCTGCCTGTTAAATGCTAAAAACATTAACAAAGGAGGTTCTCCTTTATAAACAAGAAAAATTAAAGAACACTGTACTGCTTGCATGTAATACAAAAACAACAACAAAAAACCACTAGACCAGAAAGATTTAAAGTTTTAAAACAGTACTAAAAGTTTACTTTAAAAATGTTCATGTTAAAGTGAAAAAAAAAAAAAAGCTTTAGTAACAGAGGGAATATATGCATACTGTCAAATGGTATACAATAGCCAAAAGTAATTCTTCCCTTTCTCTCACTGTCCTCCTCATCCAAGTCATCACCAATATCTGCCTCTTCTACCTCCAAAATAAATACAGGCATACCTCGTTTTAAAGTGCTCCACTTTATTGCACTTCCAGAGGTTGCACTTTCATTGTTATCAAGACATGACCTCCACCAGCAAAAATGATTGATTTACTCAAGGCTCAGATGGTGGTTCAATAAAGTGTTTTGTAATTAAGGAATGTTCATTTGTTAGACATAATACTACTGTGTGCTTAATAGACTACAGTATAGCATAAATGTAACCTTTATATACACTGGGACACCAAAAAATTTGTGAGACCTTGCTTTACTGAAATATTCACTTTATTGCTGTGGTCTGATAGGAAACCAACAGTGTTTCCAAAGTATATCTATATGTATGATTTGATTGGATTTCATCCACTTTTCACCTCTACTGCCTCCATCCCACCCCATTACCATTCACGTCTTCCCTGAAGTCTACTTGGTTCCACCTGTCCCTTTATTCATTCTCAATGAGAAAAACTAACTCTTTTAACACAACTGCCAAACACAACTCTTTCCCAAATGTAGTATCTGACCCAGCACATTCCTGCTTAAATACCACCGCCCCCCATAGCTGTCTTGCAAAGAAATCCTAACTCATTGTAAAAAAATAAAATAATAAAAATAATCCCAGTACTTTACCAGAGTCTCTAAGGCCCTGCAAAACAGAGCTCCGGCACACCCTCTCCCCTCCCATGTTGCCCAGCGGACCACAGTCCATCCAGTTCAGGCCTCTACTCTGTGCCACCAACATGACAAACCATTCCCTGGTTCCAGCCCTTTCTGCTGACTCCTCCATAGCTATTACATTAGTAATTACCCTGGCATTTATTGTTTACTTAGTTACTACTTTCTCCAGGGAATTAGTAGTAAATTCCCTCTTCCTAGAATTGTCACATGCCTGGCAAAGCATTCAATAAATACTAAGTGAAGGAATGAATATTCACTGATATTTTTCAAAAAGTATGGTTCTGAGCTAAATGCCATAACAAAATACTTTTCCAAATAAAGCATTTTAATTTTTAAAAGGTAGCTCCCACCCCCCAAAATTAAGGTATTTTCATGTTATCTATAGTAAACTTTATTAATATCCCATTTTAGAAGTATAACAGCTTTTACATACACATATTTACTATACTCTTGGGAATATATTAAACACTTTATGCATCTAGCTAATTTAATCCTCATAACAACCCTATGAAATAGATACAATTATCATCATCCAACAGAAGCATGGAGAGATTATGTAATTGCCCAAAGTAAGATTATGTAAAAGCTCAAAGGAAATGACTGCTAGTAAATAGCAGAGCTACGATTGTGGGACCTGAATTCAGAGAGTCTGGTTCCAAAATCAATGCCCTTAAATAAAGAGCTAAACTGAAGAAACAAATTGATGACTTTCTTATATATTTCATATGGCTCTCATCAGTTTAGATATTTGGAGACAGTGAATAAAAACTTTTTTCATTTTTTAAATTAAGGTATAATTGACATATTAGCTTCAGATGTGCAACATGATTCAATATTTGTATTTATTGTAAGATAATCACCATAATGTCTAGTTAACATCCATCACCACAGTTACAAATTTTTTTCTTGTGATGAAAACTTTTAAGATCTACTCTCTGAACAACTTTTAAATATGTAATACAGTATTATTAATTATAGTCACTATGCTATATATTATATCTCCATCAATTATTTTGTAACTGGAATAAACTGAATAACTTTTTGATAGAAAATAAACATTATTTTAGTATAACAAATTACAAAAAACCTTTTGCTTAGCAATGGAAATACATCCAATTGTTTTAAATGAAAACAGCTTTAGGGATCAGGCAGTGCAGTGGTCCTGATGGTCTATTCCACAGCTTATCTGGGGAAGGTAAGTGGGGAGGAGGAAGAGTTGGGGAGGAGGAGATGGCAGTGGTCAGGAAACAGTGGTGCCTTGGGAGTGCTGCCAGCATTTAGTGACCAGTATCCAAGGATGTTGAACATACTATAATGCATTGACTGGGTCAGCAGCTCACAAAGATAAATGATCTTCCCTAGTGAGAAACACTGACTTAACTGGAATGGACATCTGTTGTTGAGCATTCCTCTTCCCTTCTTTTGAATACGGCACCTTATTTTCTTTTAGGAAAGTATTTCTCCTTTATTCCCCAAGTCTTTGGTGGGTCTATTAATAAAGGCACCTTGTATCATCAGCCAAGAGGCGGGATGATGATTCAAATTAGGCAAACCAGGCTCTGCTGGGAATTTGAATCTTGAGTAACTGACATAAGGATGGAAACTAAGTCATTCAAAGACTCTTCATCTAGATCCCTGGAGCTACCCTATGTTATGTGCTTAACAAGGCATGAATTTTCAGTCTCTCTTTATTTTATTAGCTCTCATGAAGCCTTTCAGTAAATTCTGTTTTTGCCCTTTTATTCCCCTTAAATTAACCACTGCTGGTTTCTCTGATTTTCAATTAAAGAACACAAACAACTGACAAAGCCTGAAACTGACACAGTACCTGATACAAACTGATACCAGAGAATCTGCTACAGTCAACAGACCTTTGGAGAAAGAATAGAAATTTAGAACTGGTTACTGGCCCAAATCAGGGAAAATGGAAATAGAACTCCTATTTATATTAGGAGATTGGAAACCAGAAGCCCATGGAACAAGAAGATAATACAAGTTAATGTGTAATCAGAGCCCCTGAATCATTATACTCCTCTAGTAGGAATGACCAAAAATAAAGTAAATGATAACTGTGTGTTTTATACCTGCTAAGAGGCAAAGTGCTTGGTAATACCTCTGGGATCCTGAAGGCAACAAATACTGCATGGGATAGAAGCATCTGCTTCTACCCATTTGCTTCACAATGAGAAAATACGGGTAGGGCCGAGTGCACTACTTACTGCACACCTGGTCCAGGCAGAAGCACACTTCTAGTCAGCTCTTTTGATTGAGCAGATCCAATACCATTCAAAGCACATGAGAAAGATCTGTATTCTGGGAAAAGCCTATGGCAAGCCTCACTAACTACACTGCTCCTCCAAGCCACAAAGCCGGGTGTGCCCAGCAGCACTCTATGAACATGTGCAAATTATGCCTGCTTGGTCAAAATGCATGAGTGAAGTTTTTGGGCACTGTCTGTATCTGTCTTGCTTGCTATGTCATATAATTTTTTAAAATCCCCTTCTCTTTCATTTTTGCCTCTCCTACTACTGCATAGGGAGTATATTATTAGCACAAATTTTCTAAAGTCTATAATTCACAGAATAAAAAAGATATGGGAAGAGGAACTAACATTATCCAGAACTACAGGACTTGAAGCTAGGTGCATTAAACAGGAATTACTTTGGATTATCTCCCTTTCTTAAGGAAGAGAGAGCTAAATTATATTAGTTGGAAGTGTTTTAAAAATTTTGTGTGGAAAGAAGGTTTGAATGTTCTGAGTATTAACAAGTAAAAGATAGTGGATATTGGTAGTTTTAGCCCACCCAATACACTTTTCCTGTTCTTTTAATATATATGCGCCCATTCTTGCTCTCCAGAACTATCTTTCTTCCTCTCCATAGTTTTAGTGAGGCTATGGTGTGCCTCCTTAGAAATGGGGGAACTACACATATGTAACAGAACTAGGAGATACAGTATAAAAATAAAATGAATGTTTATGTCTCATTGTCTGACACCACTGATAAACAGCAGATATTCTCCCAATAAGGAGAGCAGCTTATACTG